CGAACTCCACAACCGCTGACACATCAACCACCACCCCCGATTCCAGCCCTTGATGCCCACGAGAGATCACAACCCCACCACGGAGCCGCGAAGCACCACCTCGCCAACGCACGCTGATGACCTGCAAGGGCATAGGGCTATTGTAATTTGCGATAAGTAGAGTATGTCGATCCCATAGGGAGCGATGGTTTCACTGGTAACTACCAACCCCGCAGCTACGTTGTCACTTACATGGCTACGTTCACACCCAGAGCGTTATCTGGAAATAGTATATTCGTTGGTTGCTAGCGGAAATGATAATAAGGGTGGTTTTGACTAAACAACTACAGGAGGTAAAAACATAAATAAAACAACAGGAAAAATAAAGGAGCGGCGCTTGAGTAATGAGGGCGTTCTCGAGGTATTTAGAATCATCACTATATGTTTGTTCTACTAATACTAAGCCACTTTACATGTTTCTCTTTGTGGGGGGAGCCGGTACAGATACGTGCATACACGTGGCAACCCTGTATCACATACGCCACCACTGTCCTTCCCCACTCTGGTTATCAGACAATGATTAAGGGGAAAAAGGTCCCCATGGACGTAGCCAACGTGGTCTCTGTTTTACCCCCTACTGCAATGATCTGCTATGAATAGAGATTGGGCATGTCACTCACCCACCTCGCTAACCACATGGTTCGCCAACAGTAATAATCTTCCGTCCAAAATTGGCATGCATTGGATGGTCGACTTCATCCAAGGTTAAGAAGACTACTAGCATACACATGTAAAGAGGATATGATATAGTGCAAGAAAATCGGTACTAGCACATACTAGAGTTCATCTTATTCCCCCAAGAACTAATAAATTACTCAAACATGGTGATGGAGTACATAGAGATTAGGGATGAGTTACAAGCTCAACACGAGGTCTCGGAGATGGAGATGGGGAGAGGCATGGCACCGGCGATGAAGAGGGCGATGGCCCTCCAGCCGACACCGGTGTGGAGGCACCTCCTCCCTTCCTTCTTCCTTTGCTTGGCCCTTCTTCTATGGTGGAGGTGCTGCAATGGAGATGTGGTGGCTGTAGATGAGACTGTTGGAGATATGCCCTAGAGGCAATCATGTGATGATCATATTTCCATATGTATTCATGAGTCCATTGTATTGTCCTTGAACATCATCAATGATATGTATCAATAAGTATGTGACTTGTTTGTGGAACTATATATTGTGTGATGATTGTTCTAATGGTCCCTAGTTGATAAGGTTATGCGGACACATATCCTTGACTAGTATACGACTCGGTTGATGATTATGTTTCACACGTCATGTGTACGGAGATGCTAAACCGATAGTATGGACTTGGGGATGGAGATCACCGAGTCGGACAGACCCACTTTGAGATGCAGCGAGATATAGTCATCTGTTAGTCTCAAGTACAATGTCTATGCCATGTCCTAGACCTGAGGTCCTCGCATGTTCTCGGGCTGAGGATCGACTCACTTAGGGTCTATCAAACGCTACTCCGTAACTGCATAGTTATAAAGGTAGCTTTCGGGTGAGTCGTGAGACATGCCGCGAGACATGATTGACCAAGATGGGATTTGCCACTCCTATATGGAGAGATATTCTCTAGGCCCTCTCGAGTGATCAAATTCAGAAAGCATGGCCATGCAACTTGGGTTAAGTGTTAACCAAATTCAGGAATCTGTGTAACGGTTTCGAGAAGAGAGGTCGAGCTACCACAAGAGTGACAGGTACTCGCCTTGAGCTCGACAACATATATCATGAGGCAAAAGGAATGTTGCATATGACACATTGTCGAGGTTCGTCAAACGACTTTAAGCACACATGGGAGTTGGCACATTCTGCTAGGAGCCGCTACCAACTATCGACTTGGCCGTGTCCATGTGTACGCGAACCTATAGGGTCATACACTTAAGGGGCTGCAGCCCATTCGGATTGGATCTGAGTGGAAAATGGACGCAGACTCCTAGTGGGCTCAAGTGTTGAGCCCACCTTGGAAGGAGAGTGGGCGCACCACTTAGGGTTGATCTTTTCCCACCCTCGATAGCCGCCGCCACTCCCCATTCCCATGACGTGCGACCGGACCTAGCAGTCCGCTGCCCGGCGCTGCACCCCGCATGTGTGGATACCTCGGAGGCATCGCATCTACGGTGCTTGGACGAACCGTTCGAGGAAAACACGAGGTGCTGTTCGCGGGAGATCATCGTTCATGGGTCTTCGCTATTCGCGGGAGATCACAGTTCACGGGTCTTCGCTGTTCGCGGGAGATCAGCGACGCAAGGAGGAAACGACCCGGGAGATTGGCTACACGCATCACCAACTCTACTTCCGCTACGGTGACTGCACGTCTAGTGGTAAACCCGATCTCGTAATCTATTTCCAGTTGCATGATCTTGGGTGCGCGGTAGAAAATTAAATTTGGCGCTAGCGTAGCGTACCGCGTGTTCCAACAGAGACTTGTGGAGGATGGAGGTGAGATGAGCCGGTGGCTAGGGTTGGAGGTCTTCATATAGGAGTGCTCCTCGGGTGTCATCCATTGGCCTAGCCTCCCCCTTCATCCAATGCCTCAAAGGGAGCCAAACCAATGTCCCAAACAAGCCTTGGTCATCAAGGATCTCGTAGGAAAAAACGTGGACGAAATCAGAGCAAAATTTGGAAAGTTCTGGTCAATTTTCACGGTTGTTTGGAGCTCAAACCAACGGCTCCGGTCGCATGAAAGGCCGTCCTTCCTTCTGGACTTTGGGAGTCATCATTTCTTCATACGAACTCAAATTTTGACGTTCTTGAACTCGTTGGATTGCTAGTGAAAAGCCCAATGCACTTATGGCCTTGGATCTTCATTGTGGACACTTTGATAAATGTCAAATAATCAAACTCTCCAAAGGGTCTTGATCTGGTGCCTGGAACTTCTCCGGTTTGACCCCTGGCTTAATTCTTTTGATCTCCAAAGTCCATGAACATGTCAACACACCTACAAAGACCACAAAACAAAGGAAAACTAATAAAAACTAAATAAAAATAAAAGGTGTGCAACGAACTTGGTAAAACAAGTAAATACCAAAAAATATGCATTGAAGACATGAATAAGTGCTAGATGGATATGATACGAGGGATTTTGGCACAATAATATATACCCTAAAAGTATGCCTAAAATCCATTCATCAACATCCTGAAACTTAAACCTTGTTCGTTGGGCAAAATGTTGAAAGCCGGGATATGGGGATATGCTTAAAAATACCAGGGTTTCCAACGTTGTTAAGGTTTTTTGTATGGGAATCGTTGCGTGCCGGCGGACAGGCTGAAGCGACGCGCCGGCCACGCGTGCGTCGCTGGATCCCTCACGATTTAACGCCACCAATTTGTGCCACGTCACGCTGTTATGGGCTCCGCGCGCACCGCTTTCGGCGTTCCTTATCTACACCGCGTAGCTGCTTGTCCACTCGTTTCTTCTTATTTCTTCTAGCCTGAGCTCGCCGCTTCCCATCTCTCTCGTCTTTTCTCCTCATATTCCACCGGGGTGCTGTGCTCCTGCTCATGTCCAAGCGCACCGTAGGGCTGCTGCACCACCGGCACCACCGCCGCTTCAAGCTTTAGATTAGGAAACTGCTCCCCCTATTTCCCTCTGTTGTGACCCAGTGGCCTTGCCCGACCAGCAGGACGGCGAGATGTGACCCCGCGCGATGGCAACACATGATGCTGCAATGGGGGGGGGGGTGCTGGACCCGATGGGCCGTGGTGCTGGAACCACCACGGCGGCGAGCTGCGACCCCAATACCCCCATCGTCTTCCTGTGTCAGTGGCGTGCTGCAACCGGCAACTAAGGAAGCTGGAACCGGCGGCGTACATGTTGCAACGGGTGGCAAAAAAAGCTACAAGGGGGACACGACGTGCGAACCAGGAACCATTTTTGCTGGAAGCAGCGAGTCTCTGTGCTACAACCGGCACCAATATATGGTACGACCGGCAATGCAAAGTGCTACAACCTGTAGAATTTTTTGCGACAACGGGCGGTGACCGCGGTGACCACGTGCCGGAAAAAGCTGGAACCAGCGAGCAAAAAAGCTTCAACCAGCGGCACATTTTGCTACAACAAATGCGATGACAAATGCTACAACAAGCGGTGACATGCAGCGGAACTGCATCTAGCGGGATTTTTTGCTACAACGACATCTGTTTTTTGCTGGAACCATTGGTGAATGGGTAGAGCGTCGGCGTGGCCGGAGCTACATCTAGTGTTGCAAAATGCTACGACCCGCATTAGTTTTGTTGGAACGACAGAAATCTCCATCGATGATGCAACCAGGTGGCTGCTCCGCTGACGGTGAGGCGGCATGGAGTCACGGTTGTTGTGGGGCGTTTTTCGACGGCGAAGGCTTGAGGAGAACAACAGTGTGGAGAGCCAGGCGAGCACGAAAAGGGATGGAAGTGCGAGCGGCATGATTTGATCTCGCCGGCCACATGATTCAATCTCACCGGCGGCATGCTTCAAGCTCGCCTGTAGTGGGAGATGGACGCGGTTACTGGGGGCACGCGAGGGTGCGTTCGCGGCGCGGGGGAGGGGGGAGGGGGAGGAAGGAAGGAGGAAGACGCGAGGACAAGGGCGGGGGGTGGTTTCACCTGGCTCATCTAACGGCTGTCAGGCGCTGGGCCGGAGCGCCGGCGCCTATCATCGCCCTTTTTGTATTGGTTTCTCTTCAAGATAAAGTGCTCCGAAAGGTGTGTAAAATGCAGAGAAAGAGACATAGATTTCTGAACAAAATAGGAAATCACCACCGAAGTACAAACTAGATTATCTGATTCGTCAAAAATATCAATCTAGAAAACGGTAAATAAATCAATAAAACAAGAGTTTTCTGAGCGTCGCTTAATAATGCAACCAAATCAAGGTTTGTGGGAAAAGAACAGAGGAATGAAACAGAGACGACGGGCCCTCATCCATGATCCATCACGGCCTTGCTGTGGACTAAATCGAAACCGTCCATCAACTGTTCAACTGGAAGGGTCCACGACGTGGCCGAGGAACAAAACCTCGCCCTTGCCATACTCGACGATGGCGAACAAGAACGGGTGGTCCGCCACGAAGCTCATGGGCGGCGGCGGCGGGCGCTCACACGGGCTATAGGTCGGGTTCGAAGGTGCGTAAAACGCTGCTACCGCCGTCGTGCCTTCCTCGTCCACCTCCACGGCGCACATCTGCTCGACGGTCGACACGTAGAGCCCTTCCCGGGGCATGTTCGACACCGCCCCCGACAAGTCGGCGGCCAGCGGGTCGAACGGCGCGGCGAGCCCGAGGCTGCGCAGCGCGTCCATGGCGTCGAACCGGAAGGAGAACTTGAACTTGGGGAGCAGGCACGGGTTGACCACCTGCTGGAGCCGGGGAGCGCAGCGCATGACGAAGTCCGGCTCGGTGACCGCCAGCCGCAGGAGGTCGCGGAGCCCGTCGCGCCGGTGCGGGAGGAATATGAGCATGGAGAAGAGCGGCGCCTTGGGGTCGAGCTTGCCGTCGCGCCCCGCCATCTTGTAGAAGCACTGGAGGACCTTGAAGCCGAGGTCGTCGAAGCTGGTGGCGTACTGCATCCCGGGGGCGGAGAGGAACGGCACCCGCACGGACGTGCCGTCGAGGCGGTGGAAGTCGCGGCGGACGGTGTCCGACGGGTCGAACTTCCGGGCCCAGGTGGCCTTGAAGTGCATGGCGTTGGCGAGGACGATCTTGGGGTCGCCTCTAAACGAGTCGGGGGAGACGAGGTCGCGGATGCGGCCCCTCGTGGTCTCTGCGATGAGAGCGTTCACCTCAGCCGCCGCTGCCGCTGGCTGATCCATGCAATGCAAAATCAGTTTCTTTAGTCACGTGCTCGCGCTATCATGCCGTACTTATCGTTAGTTTTTCCCTTCGTGTTTTTTTTTGACGGAAAAAAAAACATGTTTAGTTGCAGGTTGATTGTCAATTTACTTGTACTTATCGTTATCGTTAAGTGCTACAAATGCCACTATGGAACTACCTGGTTCTGAAAGTCCACGGATCTCACGGAGGCCCGGTGGGCGGAGGCGGCGGCGGACACGAACTCCGGCCTCAGCGAGAATGATTTGTCCGCGAAGATGCCAGCGGCGAAGGTGAGCTGCGGCCACGCGCGCATCTCGGCGATGAGGCTGGCACTGGCCGCGTTGAGGAGGTGGAGGTCCTGGGAGCCCAAAAAGGCCAGCAGCTGGCTCAGCGTTTTGCCGTTGGTGCCGGTGGCGAGCAGCGCGAGCCCGGTCCGCATGGACAGGGGCGAGAAGATGAAATTGGACCGCCTGGCGATCGCGTCCGTGCCGGCGAACAAAGCGACCTGCAAGCATTGGTCCATGCCGAACTTCTGGCAGAGACCACTGCACGAAGTGACGTCGAGCAAATTAAAGCTGGAGGCGAAGGCTTTCGGGACGAAGAAAAGGGGGAGAAAGGGGAGGGGTCGGCCAGTATTTATGGACGGGAGGGAGGGCGAGGGCCGAGTCCGTGCGGGTGCCGTTTCTCGCGCCGCTCATTGCGGCAAATTGCCGAGCGAACGCACAGGCGCGACTCCAGCTGGGCCGGCCCATTACCGCAACACGGTGAAAAATCCAAAAAAAGAATGCGAACCTACTGTTAGGTAGGAAAGAGGGGAGCTCCTATAGAGCGCCGAAAGCGCCCGTTAACGATCCGGCGCCTGCAGCGCTGCTAGCATGGGCCGGCCCACTAGCGTGCTGCCCCAAGTTTTTTTAGTTTTTTTACGAAAATAAAAATATGAAATGAAGAAAGGTTTACAGATTTAAATAAAAAAAGTTCATCCATTTGAAAAAATACGTTCATATCTTTAAAAAAAGGTTCATAAATTTTGAAAAAGTTCATTCAAATTGAAAAAAAGTTCAACCAACTTAGCAAAAGTTCATAGAAATTGAAAAAAAAGTTCATATATTTTTAGAAAAAGTTCACGGAACAGAAAAAAAAATTCACCCATTTTCAAAATAAATGTTCATTAAATTACAAAAAAGTTCATCAATCTCAAAAAAGTTCACAGAATTTTCAAAAGAAAAATCGAGAACCGGCGCCTAGATGGGCCGGCCCATTTACGGAAGCCACAGGCGCCAGTTAACAAAATGCACGTAATAGGTTTACTGGTTAGGAAATGCCAGGAAAGAGCATAGCCAACGCGCTAGATGAGCTTTATTGGCCGCGCGAAGCTAAGGATAATATAGGTCCAAACATTTTTTCAAATTCCCAAAGTGGACATTATTTTGAAAACGTGTTTTTTTAAAAGCGACACTTTTCGAAATTGACAAGAAAAACCTAAAAATCTTGAACATTTTCAGAATATGTGAACAAAGTCTTGATACACTGAAAACTTTTTTGAAAAGCATGAAATTTTTTGAATATGTGAACATTTTTTTCTTAAAAGGAATATTTTTTGAAACTCTGAACAAAAATTTGGAAACGCGAATATTTTTGGAATTCATGAACTAATTTTGAAACAAGAACGTTTTTTCAAACTCAGAACAAAAATTGAAAAAACGAAAACATGTTTAAATTTCCAAACTTTTTCGACAAAAGGTACAGTTTTTCTGAAATAACGAACATTTTTTAAAACAGTAACCATATTTTTAAAAACGAGAAGGGAACAGGCAAAAATAATCAGAAAAAACGAAAAATGAAGATGAACATTTTTCAAATTCAAAAACAAATTTTGGATATGTAACCATTTAAAAACATGGAAAAACCTGAGAAAAATTGGAAAATTTAAACACTTACAAAAACATAGTGAACATTTTTTGAAACTCCCAAACAAAATAGAAATAGACATATTTTCGAAAATTGCGAACAAATTTTGAAATGGAATTTTTTTTTGAAAATACAGAACAAAATTAGAAGACACAAACATTTTTCTTAGAATTGCGAATAAATTTTGAAAGAGGAACATTTTTTCAAACTCGAGAAGAAAATTTGAAAACACGAACATTTTTTTATATTATGAACAATATTTGAAAGGAGAATATTTTTTCTACATATGCGAACATTTTTATGAAAAATGGAGAATTGTTTTTTGAATTTGTGAACAAAAGATAATAACAGAAACATTTTTGAAGTTTTGAGCATTTTTTGTATATATAATTTGAAATTCTCAAGTACAAGAAAGAGAAGAAAAAGGAATTACAAAGGAATAGAAAACATGAAGTAAAGAAACAGAAATTCAAAAAACTAAAAAATTTGAAACTACGGAAAAGCATGTTTTTTAGAGCTGTGAACAATTTGTGAGAAAGAGAACAAATACTCTAAATGTGAACATTTTTATTTTTTTAAAGAACAAGAACATTTTTGTATTTTGTTAAATGTTTTTGAAACAAGAACATTTTTTAAATTTATGAATAAAATTTGAAAATGGGAACATTTTTCAAATTTTCGAACATTTTCCGTGAATCTCAAACAAAATCTTCAGGAATTTGCCGCAACGCGCGTTCCGGCCCAGTAGTTTCGCGATACGGGGACAATTTGGCGCAACGAGCGGCAAATAGGGATTTCCTTTCTCGCCAACTCCGGGATGTAGTACGCCGTTGGTAGTTGGGCTGGCCCAACTCCCGCTCGTTCCCTGTATTGCTTTCCTGTTCGCTGTTTTTCACACACGTTTCGAAAACATTTCACGAATTTCATAATTTCTCATGAATTCAAAGGATGTTTCGGATTTAGGGCCAGTTCTTTTGGGAGGCTTAAGAAATAAGCTGCCTCTCCACTAACTTTCTTGATGCTTTCAAATTAGTTATTCCATAATAACTACTCCCTCCGTTCCCAAATACTTGTCTTTCTAGGCATTTCAAATGGACTCAACATACGGATGTATGTAGACATATTTTAAAGTATAGATTTACTCATTTTGCACCGTATGTAGTCACTTGTTGAAATCTCTAGAAAGACAAGTATTTAGGAACGGAGGGAGTAGTTTAGAAGCCCTAGTAAACGAGAGAGCGGGCTTATGGGAAAGCTGGGAGGAGGCGGCTTATATTTTAAGTCGCCAAAAGAACTGACTCTTAAATATTTGTGACGTTCAAAAAATATTAAAAATTTCAGATAATGTTACGAATTCCGAAAAATGTTCATGGATTTCAATATATGTCAGAATGTCAATAAATGGTTGGGAATTAATAAAATGTTCAATAATTCAAAAGTTGTTGGCCACTTTCAAAAACATTTACTGAATTTGAAAATGTGTGTGAATTAAAAAATATATCCACTAAATCAAGAATTTTTTTCAGGTTTTAAAAAGGAACAATAAAAAAGGAAAATAAAAAGATAGGAAAACAGAAAAAAGAAAATATCCGAGAAAACTAAAAAGAAAAGGATAAATATCTGTTTATGGAAGATGCCATAAACTTCCAGAAACCGATGGAAGAAAGGCTTATTAAAAACCCGAATATGTCCGGTCCATGTACTACGTGTGCGCTCCCAAGGACATTAGGTATGCGGGAAATAGGATATGTCGGGTAAGGCGGGCATCGTGCACCGCCTATAGAATACGATCTGGCCATCTGAACGGTCCATGGAGAATGAATGGTCTGATCAGATTTATATACATGACCATTCTATCAACATAATAAATTAAATAATTTTTTTCTTCACTTTTGCAGACTAAAAAATAATTTTGTTTTCAGACACAAATAAATGAACATCATTTTAGGACCAAAATTTTATGAGGTTTGATTTGAAATTCAAATTCGAATAGAAACATAACAAATCTGATGAATGATTAAGGGCCACGACGGTAGGCGAGGTCTACGGTTGTGATTGGGCGGCAGCAAGCGAAGCATACACGAAGCTTCACGTGGAAGAGGGAGTTTTTTTGTGTGCCAGTTAAGGGGAAGGTTTACGGGATGGGTTATCTTCCCCT